GGGTTTCCATGGAACAGCTGATGGATTTGAACTGCCAGCAGCAGTCCAGTGCTTATCTTATAATGCCACACCAGGAGTCCTAACCTGGATAAAAATAAATTTGTTTATAAAAGCCATCCTCTTACGGTATTTGTGTTATAGTAGCACTAAATAACAGTATCTTTTAGGCCAAAAGAAAACAATTCTATGTTAAATAGCTAGAATTTAGTCCTACTAAAAAATATGCTGGAGTCCTGGTTTGGCACTGCAGATTAATGCACTGGACTGCAAAATCTTTTGAACTGCAAGATCGATGGTTCAAGCTCACCAGCCGCTCCTCCGAAACCCTGTATAGGGTCGCTATGGATCGGAACTGACTCAGTTTGATGGCACTTAACAACAACAACATCAACAAAAATATGCTAAAATATTTCTTATGGTTATTTTTGCATAGTAATATTTTTGGTGCGTTTTCTTTTCTATATTTTCTGTAATTTAGTCTCAAGAGTTAAGAATTATTTTGCAGTTATTCTCATAGCTCTGTTTTGTTGTTGTTTTATTTAGGGAAAAATGGCTTTACTGGCCTCAAATAGCTGCTTTATTAGATGCAATGAAGCAGGTGACATAGAAGCAAAAAGTAAGACAGCAGGAGAAGAAGAAATGATAAAGGTAATCATGTCATTCTGCATACTGATGTATGTCATATCATAGTTCTTTTTGCACATGTGCCCATATAAATAATACACTCCCACATAACATAAAGATATGATGGAATTTAGTTCTGGCTTAGCATGCCTGGCATATATATACCTTGTTTGTCTTTTGATATATCCAGAAGTGAATTTCAGACTTGTTGACCCATCCTCCCACATTACAGATAAATCCTATCATTCGGTTCATTCTCTTTTGATTCTGTTCATTTTCTTTAATCTCCTACCTATGTGGATAAAAATAGCCTGAAAATGCTACTTTTGATCTTGTTTATAAATATAGATATAAGCCATGGTCAAGAAGTCATAGACAGAGGTTGGTAGCCCCTTTTGTTGTTGTTAAATGCTGTCGAGTCGGCTCCAACCCATCATGACACTGTATAGGATTTCTGAGGAGCAGCTGGTGAGCTTGAATTGCTGACCTTGCAGATCAAGCTGACTTTGCAGCTCAGCGCATTAACCCACAGCACCACACCAGGACTAGTCATTGGAAAGTAAGCAATCGAACTGTGTTTGTTTTATTAAATTAAATTGTTAATTATAGTGCATTAGCTAACAATTGAATGCAAACACCTTAACAAGGTCATTTTAAGTTAAACCATTAGGTTATGTTAGGTCTACTTATGTTATAGTTCAGTTATGTCTCTGTCAATGTCTTTGATCTCTGATCAAAAATTATCTTAGTCACATGTTTGTGAGTATAAAAGGGCCCTTGCTTCTTTCACATAACATTTGTGATCAAAATAGAAATTGAAGTCAGCAACATGTAAAAAAAAAAATTGGCATAGCACACTTAAAAAAATAACACACCATGGAAAACATGCAATGTATGCATTGTTTGTATAGAGATACAGTATATATGATGTGACTCTGTAAAATATTGAAGTGTCACATAAAATATCGCTTAAAATTTTAATTAATACTAGCTACGTCCACTATTACTGGGTCTTCAGCAAACTGGAGGTCAAAAGTAGAGTCCGACATTTGAACCCTCACTGGATAAGTGAAGTTATTAGGAAATTCTTGTTAATGCTTTAGCTGTAATCATAGTATTGTAATCTTTTATATATATAAATATTTTAAGAAGTCTTGTCTTTTAGAGAGAGAGATCTTAGTGGATTATGAACAGGACTACTAACTGAAAGGTCAACAGTTTGAATC